GAACACAAATTAAGATATTTAAGATATTAAGATCGCTCCTGCATACAGTCCATAGGCTTCTTGAGGGACTGGCTCTTGCTGTCCTCGAAAAGTCATTAAAGACATCGTTAAAATAGTCCAAGTGACTACAGGGGCTCAATCTTAAGTTTATCAAACGACGAGAACACTTTTGTGCGCAAAAAAAACAACAAAAATAACGACTTTATTTCAACTATTCGTTTATTTCTCCCTCTGTGCGAGTCAGGTTACTAGTTTAATAGCGTAAGCTTCTGTTATTGTACGTCACACGCATCACACACACATGACCAGCGTCGGCCAATAGTGAGCCTACGTGTGACGTAGCTCTACGCAATCACACTACATTAAAGGGTTAGTTCACCCAAAAATGAAAATTCTGTCAATATTTACTCACCCTCATGTTGTTTCAACCCCGTAAGACCTTCGTTCATCTTCGGAACACAAATTAAGATATTTAAGATATTAAGATCGCTCCTGCATAGAGTCCATAGGCTTCTTGAGGTACTGGCTCTTGCTGTCCCCGAAAAGTCATTAAAGACATCGTTAAAATAGTCCAAGTGACTTCAGGGGCTCAATCTTAAGTTTATCAAACGACGAGAACACTTTTGTGCGCAAAAAAACAACAAAAATAACGACTTTATTTCAACTATTCACTTCCTTCTCCATGAGTCAGTAAGTCAGTTAACGTAGTGTGATTGCGTAGAGCTACGTCACACGTAGGCTCACTATTGGCCGACGCTGGTCATGTGTGTGTGATGTGTGTGACGTACAATAACAGAAGCTTACGCTATTAAACTAGTAACCTGACTCGTGCAGAGGGAGAAATAAACGAATAGTTGAAATAAAGTCGTTATTTTTGTTGTTTTTTTGCGCACAAAAGTGTTCTCGTCGTTTGATAAACTTAAGATTGAGCCCCTGTAGTCACTTGGACTATTTTAACGATGTCTTTAATGACTTTTCGAGGACAGCAAGAGCCAGTCCCTCAAGAAGCCTATGGACTGTATGCAGGAGCGATCTTAATATCTTAAATATCTTAATTTGTGTTCCGAAGATGAACGAAGGTCTTACGGGGTTGGAACAACATGAGGGTGAGTAAATACTGACAGAATTTTCATTTTTGGGTGAACTAACCCTTTAAGCAGTAAACATGACATATACTATTTTACATTGGAAATACGTCACAATATGGAGTTAATGTTGGTGGAAACTATCAGTTCACGCAGAATTACACTGTAAATATGAATATGCTTTATCTAATCAAAAAAATGTGGCAACAGATTACAAGTAGTATTATGAATTAAACTTAACAAATTAGAATCGAGTAATAATTAATAAAATAAATTCCTTAAAAGTTAACCATTTAAAATTAGTAAAACTTAAAACAACAACCAAAAAAACAAACAAAAAAAAAACATAAATTGAAGTCACCATTATGATGATCGGTGTTTGTTTCAATGTTTTAAAATTACGGTTTTCTCATTCAGTGATTCTGCTTGTTAACATCAGGTGTCTTCAATGTTGGCAATATTGGAGGCTGTAGAGGTGAAGATGACAAGTCCCATGATTCCACACTCCTTCAACAAGCTACAGTGTTGTTAGTGTTGAATTACAGACCTCTACTGTGTATTTTGCATAAGTATGTTACCGATAAAAGCGCTTCATGTGCAACGCAAGCAGTTCCAATGCAATTTCCTGAATATCTAAATATGTTTAGATCTTCACAGTGAAAGGTAACACTTACGAAATCTCTGTGTAAACAATGAGTGACATACACACGCGCGAGAGAGATCACTTCCGGCTCTTTCCAGAGCAGACCGAAGCGCCCACGCCCTCAGATCACTTGGACGTGGCTTTTGAGGTAAAAACAATATAAATACTGTTTGTTTTCTCACACAAACTGCTCGTTTCGTGTCTTAGGCCATCAATGTGTACTTACATTTAAGAGTCATTAAATCATGTTTAATTTGGACTTCTCTATGCATGTTCTTTGAGGTGGTGACCATAGACCTGCATTATATGACTGACAGACAAGAACGGTTTGACCTAAAAATATCAAAATTGAAACTACTGCGGAAACAAAGACACCTACATCTTGGATGCCCTTGAGGTAAGCTAAAACATACCAAACATTCATTTCAAATTGAACTATCCCTTTAACTGAATCTGAGGTGAAATCCTTGTGGTGAACGAATTCCTCTCGCTGAATTCCAGATTGTACGATTCCTTGTGAGATGATGTGGTTTACCTAATACTGAAGGAACTTATATGTGTATACTGTACATTGATAGGCATCGTATTCCTATAGGTAGACGTGGATCAGCTGAGAGTCAGCTGATGGTAGCTTGACTAATGTGATCTGCCAGAACTGACTCTACACTTGATTTTAGGGTAGATGTGCAAATGTCCAACAAAGAAGCGACTGTTACATAATAGAGAAGACTATTCCATAGTTTGGGCCAGGCCACAGAAAAGAAGGTGCGTCACATTTACAGCTTGCCAAGCGAAATTTCACGGGTGAAATCCAGTCAATCCAATAAGATGTTCGGGAGTTTGACATGATGCCGAAAAAGGTTTTGCTCATGTTCAAGTTGGTCATGAGAATTTGTTGCACTGTTTGAGCTTTACTTCATACATCTCAATGCTATCGATGGACCATGTCCCCTTTTTCATTTGAAATTTTCATGAAATATGGCGACACCTTTAGATATATAGTCACAAGATAGAAGTAAATGATTGGAAGATCTGAGCACTCTAACAATACAGTATGTTTGAATATTATATCACTAAGACATTTCGGCCAGATAAAGCCTTGTTTACAAACAAAATCATTTTAAAATCAACCCTAAATTTAATGTGAAACCATTGGAGGTGACGCTTACATAGGAAAAATATATGACAGGCTGTCAGGATGCTAAATAGAAACTCTAAGCACATAAACGAAACCAAAGGGGAAAAATAAATAAAGACATTACATTATATATTAGAGTGGAGGGTCCGTTTTTATTTCTCCAGAGAGATTGTAAGAGACAGTTGATAGGTCATTATGCGGCAGCAGAGCTTGTAACAGGAGGTGGGTTGTAACAGCTCACACACTGGTCTCTCGGGAGCCCCAAGTCTGTTGCTCTACCCAATTAGACTCTAAAATATTGCTGTTTCTGAAAGGCCTCTGGTCCCTGGGTGCACAGAGAGATGCTTTTGCACCTCCTTATTGTAAACCTTGCAGTTTGATCAGGTGCTGACTGGCCCGGCTCTCCCCAGCATATCCCGTCCAGAACGTGGCCCCGGCTGCACGCTGAAGGGCCTCTGCGGATCAGTGCCATTTACTGTGGACATCTGTTCTGGGTTAGAAGGCCACTGGAAGTCCAAGTGCATATGGAAGTCCCTTTCCACAGCAGAGGGTATCATTCCTCCAATGGTTGCTTGGGATGTTCTTGGGTAAGGGTCAAGTCACCTTCATTTATATAGCGCTTTTAACAATATAGATTGTTTCAAAGCAGCTTTACAGTGATAATAGCAAACGAAAGCACCAGAGATTGTTTTGGCATACAAGCAGCTCTAGACTAAAGATATTCGAGCTAAAGTTAGTTTTTGATTGATTCACTTCCATTGCAAAGATCATTAGTTATTTGCTTAGGGGCCGCTAACACGACACTGTTTTAACTGAAGACAGAGAACGTTTAATGTGTTCATTTGCCCGACAACAATGTTTGGTGGCTCGAGAATGCAAACTTTGAAATAGGTTTTGAAAAAAACTTCAAAAAGATCTTTGCAACCGCTCTGTCAAACACACACTCACACATGTCGAGAGGACAATGGTTTAACAGTGCGGTATTAACGCACACCCGGCAGTCCCGTAGTGGCGCTCCTCACCGCACGCTCTGTTTTTCTTACTGCACATTCCTGTTAGTTTAGTTTACTGCAGCAGCATGACTGGTGAGGTCATTTATGGCACAACATGGTGGGAATTCATTTATAATGGTAAAACCTCAGCACTTTAAATGAGATCACCAGCGTCTACATCTTCCTTCCCTCTCTTCTCCTTCCGTGTTCTCTTCCGTATGTCTCGTTTTCTCTCTCAGGTGTTCCGCAGATAATGAAACGACTTGTTCGAGTGTATATTTGTGTGAGGATACGAGGGAACAGGGAGTTGTGCAGTGGCTCTTTAGGGAGTGTGAGGTCAAAGGTCATTGCACACACTCCCCCGCCACTGACTTAAATATCCACAAGGACAGGTTAAATGAATTTGTTGCAGAGAAATTTTGTAAAAGTAAATAAATAAAAAACATGAGTCTGCACTAACAAATTCATCTTTCTAAATATAAAAATAAAAATTCATAATGCTTATTTATAATACATTTCATTACATGTTTATATATATATATCCTGTATATATGTATATTTCGCTGAAGTTGACTATTGGAGCACTGTTAAAAAAATATAATAATAACATTTTTTTCTTTTGTCAAATCAACTTAGATCATTTATGTAGTTCAGATAACATAACATTTTGAGTTTCTGATGATTAAATCAATCTCCTTCATTGTATTAACTCAATTTTTCCATTTTAATGAACTTAAAATTTGAAGGCAACCAGGTTACTTATTTTTTTCAAGTTAAACCAACAATATTTTTTTACAGTATGTTTTACAAGAAAGAATCTTTCAGTTTTTTAGTCTTTATTTCAAAATTTCACGTTTGATTCAATTCGTTACTTGCATTTCCTTGCAAGTATGTGAGACACTTACTAGCAATTTGTAAATCCTTCATCAATTGTTTTTTTAATGCCTTATAAAAAAAAAAGTTCATATTTCATCTTGTGAATAAACGAAACACTTTGTCATGTCTGTTGGTTTTGTTCATGGTTCATGTCTTTTATTTTGTAGTCATAGTTCCTGTGTGTCATGTGATTCCCTTATGTCTTCATGTGATCTTGTCATGTGTTTCCCAATTCTCATGTGTTATGTTGTCATTGGTTTATAGTGTTCACAGGTGTGTGTGTCAGTCGTTGTGTATAGCCCTCATGTTAGCATTGTCTCTGGTCTAGGTTTGTTACCTGTAACCTCTGTTGGTGAGTTTCATGTTCATAGTCAAGTTTAGTTCCTGTTCATCTTAATTTTTTTGGCAGGTTTGTTTTAAGCTATCGTTTGTTTTGTTCATGTTTGGTTTAAATAAAAATCATGGGTAACACTTTAGAATACTGTATCTTACTTACTGCATAACTAATAAGGAATTAATGAAGAACTAATAGGTAATTCTTTATTAACACTTAAGTCACTACTGTTAACTACTAAGGAAGTTGTGTTAACTAATCAGTATGTAATAAAATTGTATGATTGTGTTAAGTATCAGTTAGTTAATCAATAGCTAATGAATGCTGTCATACCTCCTGAAGAACTACTATTAATTATCTATTTATTAAGGTTCAAGAAAAATAACAATGAAGTAACTACTTATTAACAGTCATACACAGTAGTCAGTTTGTCATTCTTCAGCACTAATAAGAAAGATAAGTGCAGACATTTACCTATAGGATATGATCTGCAAATAAGCAAAAACATATCATGTATATTACACCTTATTATTATAAGGTTTTAGTAAGTTTACAGTAAGGTTTACAGTAAGTTTGATTTGAGTCAGAAGTATGTGGTAATTATTTATTAATTACTAATGGGTTCCCCATATTGTCACTTTAGAATACTGTTTTAGGTTCTAAGTAATTCCCGAAGGACTATCTAATGATTATTTATTAATTACTAATAAGTTCCCTATATTTTTACTTTAGAAGACTGTTTCAGATTATAAGTAGCCTAATTCCTAGATAATTATTTGATAATTATTTATTAATTACTAATGGGCTCCCTGTGTTGTCACTTTAGAATACTGTTCCAGCTTCTAAGTAATTCCTGAAAAACTATTTAAAAGTTATTTATTAATTACTAATAAGTTCCTTATATTTTCACTTTAGAAGACTGTTTCAGATTATAAGTAGCCTAATTCCTGGATAATTATTTGATAATTCTTTATTAATTACTAATGGGTTCCCTATATTTTCACTTTAGAATACTGTTCCAGCTTCTAAGTAATTCCTGCAGAATTATTTGATACTTATTTATTAATTACTAATAAATTCCCTATATTTTCAGTTTCCCTCAGTCGTTGCCTCAAATACATGAATTTACTCAGTGGCATTCTATGCTGAGGAAAACAGACACACACAGCACTGTATATAAAATATAAAACTCATCTGAGTTTAGTTTTGTATGACTGTTCAGTAGTTACTTCTTAGTTATTTTTCTTGAACCTTAATTAGTAGATAATTAGTAGTAGTTCTTCAGGAGGTGACAGAATTCATTAGTTATTGATTAACTAACTGATACTTAACACAATCATAAAATTATATTACATATTAATTAGTTAACACATCTTCCTTAGTAGTTAACAGTAGTGAAGAACTAGTTAATGAAGAATTACCTATTAATTCGTCAATAATTCCTTATTAATTCTGCAGTAAGTAAGATACAGTATTCTAAAGTGTTACCAAATCATGAATACAGGTTGGATAGAAAGTGTTACCAAATTTTCATTTTTTAACCAGCTTAATTTATCATGATGGCATTATTCGAAGTTAATCTATTTCACTGATGCTTTCAAAGATAACAGAAGCATAGACTGTCTTTCTGTCTTCAGGTGGTGTGTGTTTTGCAGGTTGCCCTGGCTTCTGTCTTGTCCGTCCCCCTGCTGCTGTTGAACTTGTGACCTCATTTCCATGGAGACATGTCAAGACAAAGATGGAGGGCAGCAGAGAGAGTTGGACGTCAGGCTGGAAACCTGTGTGGTCTTCAGAAATGTGTAGCCTAGTCCAACACACACATTCATTCCTGGCCCAAAAACCCAGCTCTGATTCGCAAGGAGGATTCATCTGCTTTGGAAAACCAGCAGTGCCGTATGCAGCCACCGCCGTTGAAGGAGAGCGGAATCCCTGGATAACAAATTCCTTTTCAGTAATGTAAAATGGGAAAGCTGTCTAGATGTGGGGAGGAAAATCGAGGAGGAGGAGGTTCATAACTCACATATATATTTTGAAAAGTCGTGTCTAGTTTATAAAGGTGTGTATATTTAAGCTTTTCAAGATGAGTAATGGTAGCGTAGGTCATGGTGCATGCAGGATTGGACACCTCTCAAATAAAACAAAAACAAACACTGGCGCACTCATTTTTTTTCCCTTCAAATAAAAAAAAAAGTACAATAAAAAGATTATGAGATGTTTTAATGGCCTAAACTTACAAATCAGTCTTACTCACACAACTAATAATCATGTCACTTTATTTTCAATAGTACACTTTAGACATTCTACTAACTATAAGTAACTTTAGTAGATGTCAACTAATTAGTGTATTCGTAGACTGTTAGGTTAGAGTTAGTAGAGTAAGTTGACGTACTTGCAAAGTATGTCTGTTGGGAAGTAGAATGTCTAAAGTGAGCTATAATGAATAACGTGTTACCTTATACGGAACATAATTTCCATTAAAAATGGAATCCGAGCTCTGATTCACTGTAGTTCCCTTTCTTGTGTGGCAGGGTAAGGAAATGTTATAATCTTAACAGAAGAGCCATCACACTTTGACTCATAGCAGATCTTCATGCCTTATGAAAAACCATCTGGGTTAGGGTGCGATGGCAGTTGATTTCGAGTCCTTGGTATATGCTACAATGGGAGTTAAAGCAGCTGAGATGCATTAGAGGAAATGGCCTTGGAGTGAAAGACCAACCACAAGAGGGGAAAAAAAAATCTACAGATCTCCTGCCACTCAGTGTAAGACAGAGGAAATGCATCCCCCAATCTTCCATACTCAATCACGAATAACTAAACGTTTCTTGCGGACTAATGTTATTACATTATTCAAAATAAAACTAGTGCGCAATTTGGGGTAAATAGGAAATCCCAGGAAGTGTTCTCTATTGAAACATGATCTAGAGTTGAAATCCGTGAAATCTTCCGTCCCTTTCCATTTCCCATTCAATGGCATCTCATGTGCATGCATCATGTCTTTCCTACATCATCAGCCTCATGAGGTAAAGAGATGAGGTCAGTAAAATGGCCCATCCAGACCTCCACAAGGCATCTGCTGGAAGCGGACACTTTCCATTATGGCAGGACGTGCTGCAGGGGTCACTTGCTGCGAATAGGCTGCCTATTGTGCCGTCGCCAAAAGAGAGAAGTTCAGGTCAACAAACAGGCACAACTCAAAGAGGAAGTCAAACGCTGACTAACCATATTTCATCATACATATAAATATACTGCACACTACATCAATATACTGAAAATTATATTCGCCAAATCAAGTAAATCACAGAGCTGAGTAAATCAGAATCCAATGGGGGGTTGTTCCACTCAGTCCTCCAATGGTCTACAACTTTGGAGAAATCAGAACAGAAGTCGTAAAAACGAGTCTTTATTAATAGCAATCGCTCATACTCAGATGACCATAGGGTACATATACATACTGTAAAAAAAAATTTTTCTTTTGTCAAATCAACTTAAAGGGATACTCCACTTTTTTTGGAAATATGCTCATTTTACAACTCCCCCAGAGTTAAACTGTTGAGTTTTATCTGTTTTGAATCCATTCAGCCGATCTCCGGTTCTGGCGGTACCATTTTTAGCATAGCTTAGCATACATCATTGAAGTGCACCAGACTATTAGCATTTCTCCCAAAAAAAATTAACAAAGAGTTTCGATATTTTTTCTATTTAAAACTTGACTCTTCTATAGTTACATCGAGCACTAAGACAAACAGAAAATGTAAAGTTGCGATTTTCTAGGCTGATATGCAGGGAACTATACTCTCATTCCTGCGTAATAATCAAGAAACTTCACTGTCGTACCATGAGTACAGCAGGCGCGATGACTACACAAACTTAATCCTGGTCACGTTGGAAGCTGGGCACTATTTTCATAACATTGCGCCTGCTGCACTCATGGTACGACAGTGAAATTTCCTGATTATTACGCAGGAATGAGAGTATAGTTCCTAGTCATATCAGCCTAGAAAATCGCAACTTTACATTTTCCTTCGGTCTTAGTGCACGATGTAACTCTAGAAGAGTCAAGTTTTAAATAGGAAAAATATCGAAACACTTTGGTAATTTTTTTGGGAGAAATGCTAATGGTCTGGTGCTCTTTAATGTATGCTAAGCTATGCTAAAAGTGGTACCGCCAGAACCGGAGATCGGCTGAATGGATTCAAAAAAGGTAACATTCAACAGTTTAACTCTGGGGGAGTTGTAAAATGAGTCCATTTCTAAAAAAAAAAAAAAAAGTGGAGTATCCCTTTAAATAGTTAATGTGGTTCAGATAACATAATATTTTGAGTTTCTGATTATTAAATCAATCTCCTTCATTGTATTAACTAATTTTTTTTCCATTTCAATGAACTTAAAATTTCAAGGCAACCAGGTTACTTCCTTTTTTAAGTTAAAGGTGCCATCTGGCACATAAAATCAAATCATATTCCATAATCCATAACAGATGGGGGCAGTATACCTCCAGAAAGTGAGTTGTGCCACGGCCGCGCGCACTCTCACGTCTTCAAACAACACAAGCGAGCACTGTTTTGCTCTCTTTCTCGCGCATATTATTCAAATCATTTGACACGATAGTAAAAGGTTGGAAGACCGCAGTTTCACGTGGAGCATTTGGAGATTTTTAGAGATCAGAGACTCAATGAACAACATCTCAACACTAAATAATGAAGACCATCTCTAGACGCTTGTCTCAAAAACAAGCTGGTGCATTTCGACGATATGAGGAAATAAAAGCATGGGCTATTATTTTAAGTTTACGGTTTCGTTTTGTTCATATTACACTTTTATTGTTAGTTTGAATTAATTTGACAGACAGCATTCGCTGATGTTGATCAACCTAGCGCCATTCAAAGCTGCCAACTCTCACGAATACACCGTGAGACACATGCAATTAACACTTAGCGAGCAGGTTAGTTAAGCTCTCAGATTCTGTAAATTTTATTACACAATTCAAACAATAAATAACCGTTTTGGCGCTTGTACATGTTACATCACAGATCCCTAGCGCACGTGAACCGATCATCTCTACTAGCTAATGGAAAAAGAACATGAACACTGTTGAAAGATACAGTATGCTACAACTTACCAAAATATATTCCTCATGCATAGTCGACCAATCGTTTTTCGAACTCTTCCCTGAACTCAAATGTAGTAGTGGGCTGTATTTTCCACACGACTGACATCAGGTTCAAGTACAAACACAAGCCGCGCGAGTTACTCGTCTAGTGCAGTTTGGCTGGTGGTAATGTTGCCCGCCCGCATACCGCCTCCCATGGCCGAAACTGGTATTACGACACCTGCCGGGCCGGGGCTAGTAATTTAGAATGCTAATTTAGGTTTATATCTCGGCAGCACTATCACTTTTCAGTTTTTTAATGACATCATTGCACTTATTTCTTCTCATTCTTTTGATGCGTGTAGCTCATTTTTTGGATATTTTTACCTCAATTATTAAATATGGCACCTTTAAACCAACAATGTTTTTTTTACAGTGCAGTAAAATTAAATCAGGTAAAAAATCGGTAACAGGGTCCATTTCTCACAATCCAACCCAATCACACTAAATGCATCTTTATAGCACGCATGTGTTTCGTTGTGTAATTTATACGGTAAAGTGAGTTTTTACGTGCATAGGATACGCATTGGTTGGTTAGGGTAGGTTAGTGGTGTGGGGTGCTTGTGTATTATACGTTTGTGTAGAATTAGTGGCGTGGGGTGCGTGTGTATTAAGGCCTGTTCACACCGGGACGAATTTTGCGCACGTTATTTGCCGACATTTAATGCCTCGTGACTAATCAAAGGGCGCCAATGTGAGTGTTCACATCGACGTGTAAAACGCCACGCGTAAAAGCGTAATTTTTTTAAAAAACGTCTCGGGTTCGTTTTTTTAGTTTGACATGCCGCGTCAAAAACTATCCGACCATTGAGATTGGCGCTTTTTGTTATGTGTTTGAAGCTTCTGAAGTTACAGTACAACGCAACTTGGGGGCGCTCAAACACAAAATGGTCTTGCCGAGCACACATATGCAACAGCGAAGAAGATATACGCCAAGTAGCGTCGCCGTCTACACAGCCAGGAAGAAATAGGAAGAGAAAGATGCGAGGCAAGATGAATGTAGAGCTGCTGTTCCCATTGGTGCTAGAACATAAAGAATTACATGACAAACGTGTCAGGGACTACACACATCTTGATAAAAAAAAGAACTGTTATGGAGTGGTATTGCAGAGCAAATTGGCGCCATCTAATGTCAGGGAATGAATTTGCATGTTCATTTGGCTCATCGTCAGCGAAAATCGCTTGGGTGTGAACACAAAAAAGTGCTGAAAAACGCTGACGAATAACGCACGCTGATATTCATCCCTGTGTGTACGGGCCTTTACACACAAATGAAATGCGTATCAAATGCACTCGAAAAACTGCGTCTCATATGCACCAAAAAAAACTCATTTTGCGTAAAAATTACACGACAAAACACAATGCGTGTTATAGAGATTACTTGCATATTAGCATGCAAATTACTAGGATGTAGTATTTGCTGTTTATTAGCACTTCCAAAGCAAATTTTAAAACCTTATTCTGCATGACCATATTTTAATCCTTTCCAATACCTAGACTTAACAACTACTTTCCAAACTATAATTAGCAGTTCATTGAGGCAAAAGTTGTACAGTAGTTAACAGTGAGAATAGGACCATAAACTAAAGTGTGACCAAAAAGCCTTCAAAAAGGACTTGGGGATGTATTTAAAGGAATAGTTCACTACAGAATTTGAATTTAAAATTTAAATTCCGTCATCATTTACTCACCCTCAATTTGTTTCAAACTTGTATGATTTTCTTTCTTCTGTTAAACACAAAAGAAGATATTTTGAACAGTTTATGTACCCCATTCTTCAACAATGTTGTTTAATTATTAATTCTAATTCTTTATATATTTATGTATAACTGAGGGTGAAATATTACAAAGAGTGATACAGAAATTGTGTGAGGCACTGTTTGAGTTTGAGTTTGTCTGTTAATCTGTTTATGATCTCGCTCTAATCATTTATTTCACTCCTAAAAGGAATTTGTTTATTTTATTCTTACTTTTAACTGCAAATAAGCTATTCTACTA